GTGGGACACTCTTGTAGGAAACTCTTGTGGGGCACTCTTGTGGGACACTCTTGTGGGACACTCTTGTAGGACTCTCTTGTGGGACGCTCTTGTAGGACACTCTTGTGGGACACTCTTGTGGGGCACTCTTGTAGGAAACTCTTGTGGGATACTCTTGTAGGACACTCTTAAAAAACAGTGGGACACTCTTGTGGGACACTGTTGCGGGACACTCTTGTGGGACACTCTCGTGGGACACTCTTGTGGGACACTCTTGTAGGCCACTCTTGTGGGACACACTTGTAGGACACTCTTGTGGGAGCGGGATACTTTTGCAGGAAACTCTTGTGGGGTACTCTTGTAGGAAGCTCTTGCGGGGCGCTCTTGTGAGACACTCTTGTGGGGCACTGTTGCGGGACACTCTTGTGGGGCATTCTTGTGGGACACTCTTGTGGGACACTCTTGTGGGACACTCTTGTGGGTCACTCTTGTGGAAAACTCTTGTGGGACACTCTTGTAGGACACTCTTGTGGGACACTCTTGTAGGACACTCTTGTGGGACACTCTTGTAGGGCACTCTCGTGGGACACTCTTGTAGGACACTCTTGTGGGACACTCTTGTGGGACACTCTTGTGGGACACTCTTGTGGAAAACTCTTGTGGGACACTCTTGTAGGACACTCTTGTGGGACACTCTTGTAGGACACTCTTGCGGGACACTCTTGTAGGGCACTCTTGCGGGACACTCTTGTGGGACACTCTTGTGGGACACTCTTGTAGGTAACTCTTGTGGAACACTCTTGTAGCTCTTGTAGACGCTCTTGTGGGACAATCATACGGGACACTCTTGTGGGACACTCTTGTAGGGCACTCTTGCGGGACACTCTTTTGGGACACTCTTGTGGGACACTCTTGTAGGTAACTCTTGTGGACCACTCTTGTAGCTCTTGTAGACGCTCTTGTGGGACACTCTTGTGGGACAATCATACGGGACACTCTTGTGGGTCACTCTTGTAGGAAACTCTTGCGGGGCACTCTTTTGGGACACTCTTGATACCACAAATCATCCCGCTCACCAGGCTCACCAGCGAAACGCCGCGTTTACGCCAGCATGTTTCGCGCTCCCCAGTGGCACGGCGCCACGCAAACGCGCTTTCCACCAAGGCCGCGCAAATCCCAATGGCACTGCGACATCACGAACGTCGCGTCGCCACACGGTCTGCCCAGACACTAGAAGCAAACGCGTCACACGATACCACAAATCATCCCACTCACCAGCGACACGCCGCGTTTACGCCGCCCTGTTTCGCGCTCCCCAGTGGCGCCACGCAAACGCACTTTCCAACAAGGCCGCAAATCCCAATGGCACTGCAACATCACGAACGTCGTGTCGCCGCACGGTCTGCCCACACACTTGAAGCAAACGTATCACATGATACCACATATCACCCCGCTCACCAGTGACACGCCGCGTTTACGCCACCCTGTTTCGCGCTCCCCAGTGGCACGGCGCCACGCGCTTGCGCTTTCCACCACGAACGTCGTGTCGCCACACGGTCTGCCCACACACTAGAAGCAGTCATGCGAGCGTTTCGTACGAGACTCACGCTTCGAGGCTGCAAAACGAACGTTTCGTACGAGACTTCCTCCAAAAGTCACACGTCAAGTCTGCAAAACGAGCGCTTTGTACGAGACTTCCTCAAAAAGTCACACGTCAAGTCTCCAAAACGAGCGTTTCGACCGAGACTTCCTCAAAAACTCACATGTCAAAGTCTGCAAAACGAGCGTTTCGTACGAGACTTCCTCCAAAAGTCAAGCGGAAACACCCATCGGAGCACACACATCACGCAACCCTGCCAAGCAGTTTCGCGATTCCAGCCCCTCCAAGCAACACCCGCTCACACGCCAATCCCAATGTGACAGCGACATTCACCTCCATACCACAACTCACAACCTCACGATTCCCTGCGCCTGCCACGAATCTTTCCGCGTCCACACGTCTATCGCGCGCAAAGTACTGCGCCTGCCACGAAATGTCACCTCCGTCACACCTCGCAACCTCACGATTCCCTCCGCCTGCCACGAAAATCGAACTTCCACACCTCAAAGCCCGCACAAAGTACTGCGCCTGCCGCGAAAGGTGACAATATCACTTCATGTGAGCTTCAACAAAATTTGCACCACACCACACGTTTGGAATGATTTCGACCCGTCCTGAGCACACTCCCATCCACCAAAATCGCCATTTCAGCTGAGACTTGTCACGAACACAGAGCTTCGATGCAACACCCTGAAATGCAAATCCCAGTGGCACGACCACATCCAACACCCCAAAAGCACGACTATCCAAACGCTAATCCGACTGGAACTGCGTAGTAAACTGCGGATCTCACAAAACGCTGCGCCTGCGCAGTGAAATCACCCTCCACACTTCAACCTCTTACATTTCCACACGATTCCTCGCTATTTCACACCAATCTGACACGTCACGTTTCCATCCGAAACCCTCTCCAAAAGCTTCCCCCAATGGCAGCGCCTTAGCGCTCTACTGCGAACACCTGCGGACGGTTGCGAACTTAGAAACCACGGGTCGCGAACAAGGCTCTACCCCCAGACCCCCAGAGTTAATAAAACGAGAATCCTTCGCTACGCATTCGGGAAAAACCATCTGAAGTATGGAGTTGCAAATTGATTCATGTGGATTGCTGTGGGATGCAAGTTCAGGCATTTGTGTGATGTTGGCGTGATACTGTGACGTCTCAGAGCGAAGTGTATTAGCTGTTTGTTGATGTGTTGAAATGTGGTGTGCTAATTCGTGAATGAACGAGTGGGTGAAATAAAAAACACAATTTACTCAATGTTGCGACCCGATGCCCAGAGTCACATGAAGAATCGGCTGCCAGCTGTCAAAGCGCGAGAAGTATTTTGGCAGCTCCGGGCTGAGAAGCGGGTGGCCGTTTAACGTAGGGTGGCGCAAAGTTGTTTGTGGCAGCCGGGCTCAGAACTAGCAATTTTGTAGTGCAAGCACAGCGCGAAGTCCTTCTGGCAGCTTGGCGGAGTATTACTGGTCCCTGTACAGTGCGCGGACTCAAGACTGTAGAACATGTTTTTCAGTGTGCGAAGCAGCTTGTCATGCATGAAGTAGCTTCTGGCGGCTGGTGCATCATTGGCAAGTGGTAGACATGCAATACACGAAGACTCACTTGCCACTCGCTCGCTCTCACCTACTCACTCCTTCACTCTTTCAGTAACTTTTTCATTCATTGACTCGTTCATTCACTCATGCATTCATTTTTTCGTGCGTTCATTCACCCCTCACTCACTCCTTGACTCCTTCACTCCAGTGGCTGTTGCCGAGGTGTTTCTGATATATATATATATGCTTTGAAGCTTGGGCAAACATGCAGCATTGACATTTTCATACTGCTAATGTTCCGAACCTTTTTGGTCCATGACAACCACATTTTGTGAGTGGCAAATGCCCAGAAATCTGTATTGGCATAGAAGTGTTTGCAGGTGGTCTGTTAAGGGGAAGATTGGACGCCTGGATAGCGTTTTCCGGAGCTGTTTCTGTTGGTGTGGTGCATGTAGTGCAAAGTTGATGCCTTCACTTTGTCCTGAAGCGGAAGACTATTGCTGACCTATATGATCAGGCACAAAGTGCAGCGGGGTCTGGCCAGTTTGCAAGGAGTTCAAATCACAGTCAGGCTCCAACGACAAGTCGAGCAAGCGACAAGTGCAAGTTTGCAGAATGGGTAAGAGATGCCAAGGGCAACAGTTTGTTCCAGAACAAAGAGGCCAAAAAAGGAAGTAGGAGGTGAGATAATTTGAATTGCGTTCATGAGTGGTGACTTCAAGTATGCCCACCGCTGCAGCTTATTGAACATCATACTCCACAAAGACCCATGACTCCAGGGTGCGCACACACACACATATGCTAACTGTTTTTTCTCATAACTCGGAAGAGTCTCTCGAAACTTGCTTCCTTTGATGATGTTCAACAGCTTGTGCGGTCTGTAAAAGAAAAACCATGCACCTTCCAGTCGCCGTCTTCGAAGCAATGTTGATGCATCCACCAAGCATCCTGTTGTTGGGGATCATTGTCGTCTTTTCCAGCTTTCACTACAGTTGTGTTTCTTGGCCTCTCCGAGATCTGCAAACCTCAGAATTTCTCATACAATTACGCCATTGCTGACTCAGCTGTTCAAACCTCATCAAACTTGCTTTACTTGTTACGCAGCCGCGCATCAGCTGCAAATCAAAATTTAGGTCCCACGCTCTTCTTTTGTGCATCGAACTTTGCCGAAAGAATCCTTTGGAGCCTGTGACACTGGGCTCTTGGCATTCACGTTCAAAGAATAGCAAGGCATGAAGCATAGTACCACTTGGGCGAGCACACGCTTCATGCATCGCCAGCAAACTCCTTCGTTGCAGCCGGCTGTGCGGCCATCTGACCTGAAACGTAACCTTAGAATCTGTTTATCTCTTGTGAAATGCATTCCTAAAGTGTCATAAAATCAAGCCAAAGAACCATCTGCGTCGAAAAAACCGCATCATTTTTGGTGGTGGCGTGGCGTGAAACAAACGCTGCTAGTAATAGTAAATAAAGAACCCACAAATGCTGATTTCAGGTGTGGCCGGACATCAACACCATGAATTGCTGGTTGCCTCCGCCTCCTGCAGAAAACGCCGCCTTTCTCCTCACACGTCGCAAGACATGATGTGCAATAATACACACTTGTTTAGCCGCTTGAAGCTTCACAAGCATGTTGCTGGATAGACAGTCTTTGGTGGCACTTTGTGGCAATCACATTGCGGAGAGGTGTTCCATGCGACTGTGTGCGGACTGGATTCTGAGACGGTGGGCTGGTCTCGGGTCAACTTTGTGTCAGCAAACAAAGCATGGCCTCCAACCTACTAGCGAAGCAACAATCTCAGCAAATTGGAAGGCAGCAGTTTGTCAAGAGCTTGTCGAGCTTTCCTGAAATTAAAGGGCTTCCTCGAGCAAAATCGTCTTTGTGGCAAGGAGTTGCAGCGAACAGCATTATGTTAAAAGCAGCTTATCTATTCCAGCAACTGGCAACATCATCTCAGCGGTTTCACTCTGCTTTCTTGCTGATTCTTGCGACGAAAGTAGGGATTTTAACATTGCTGAATGCTGGAAGTGGTGAGGCTGGCAATGCAAAAATGGTGACGCTATCGCGAAAGGATTGGTAGGCAGCAAATCTTGTGATTGATTGTGGTGCGGGGGTGATGAGGTGAGCCTCCATGCAGTGAATGGACACTGAGGACTTTTGGTATAGCAAGATGACAACTGAGTTGGTCAGTCAAGGATGGTGCTACTGCCTCCACAATCAACGTATTTAAGATCTTTTTCTTCTTTAGAGATTTTCGTTGTCTTCTAATTTCTTCTTTGGACCTTTCCTTTTTAAATTCTTTTCCAAACTGTGCGCCACATCCTGAGACAAACGGACCGTGCTCGACCAAGTCCCATCGCCAACAGCCAGGTGCCTATGCAGCTGGTCCAATCTTCGTCAAAGTCGGTGGGCATTTCCACCATCTTTAATTTTGAGAATTAGTGGCGAGATGCAAAGTGATTCTATGAGATGACCTCCAACATGATAGCGATTTCCAGCCATCTTTACTATGTGTTCGACTTTGCTTTTGCTGCGTTCATTTCCTTCTTCAATTTGTTCTCTTGGTTTTCTCTTCCTGTAAACCATTGTTTCGATCTTGTTCCTGTAAAACTGGTCGATATAGAATGCATTGTGTTGATTGTGTTACACTTTCACTCCTGCTGCTGCTTCCCGCAAAGCCGGCAATTGTCACCAGTGTTCCTGAAACAAACTCTGCACCCCCTGAGTGCCGAACACAAAGGCCGAGTGCCGAACATCCACGCCGGCCATTGAGAAGCAACCTTTCGAAGACGGATCGGTCAGGGTTTAACATCTTCTGAATTGATTTGTTGGAATGGCTTCAAGCCTGCTGTGGAGGTCTCTGGTTTGCAATCAAACCGAAAGTAGAGACCTTTGGTCACAAGCTGGTAGTCGCGCCTCTAGTGCTCTTGCAAGTAACTCTGCTTTCTCAAAGAGGTCTGCGTGAGATGTGTTGTGCCTGCAATGAACACATGTAACGGACGAGCAAAGTGAATGCCCCAATTGCCTGTCAAGGTATGCCTTCAGCTCTTTGACCTGAAAGAACTCGAATTCAAATTCTCGCAACTCCTTGCTTCTCAAAAAGCAACCAATGGCACTCCAGGCCGATGGCAGGCATCTTTTTGATGCGCTCTTTCTCAGCCATAGGGTCAATTGCCTCCTCCAAGCGTGAAGCTTCAGCGCAACAAGTTGAAACGCGTCTGCACTGTGAGGCGTGCTGCTGCAGATGATTGAACGTCCACTGCATCAGCAGCTGCTCTGGCTTCTGCAAGCTCCTTGACAAACTCGCTTTTACAACCCTTTTCGTAGGTTGGAGGCCATCGCTACTAGGTTGGATGCCATCGCTAGTAGGGTGGAGGCCATCGCTCTTAGGTTGGAGGCCTGCAGTTTGTTTCACGCGTTCAATCAACGCTGGTTGGCATTCGCTTAAGCCTTCTCCCCTCCAAAATATGCACAGAGGTCAGATTGCTCCATGCACCTGGCGCATCGCGTCGATTTCCGTTGGACATGAACTGCATCCTACAAAAGCCTGGTTCCTCCTTTGGCAGCTGCGAATGCATGCTTTCTTAGAATGCAACAACAGCGCAGCAGGAGCAAGGGGATTGGACAAAACGCCAAGAAGATCAGCCAAGCCAAACAAAATTGCAATTTCATAGACAACAGTAGAAAGGAGAGCCTGTACATCTTTGGATGTTGATGATGCTGCTACTGCTGGTGATGAAGAAAGTGGAGTTGACAGTAGCTCTTGTTGAAAAAAGCATTCGGAGGAGCTTTCAGGAATAAACATATTTTCTGCACTTGGCCACCCTGCTACCAAAAGAGCCACATCATCAACACTTCTGGCAAAAACAAGTAGCGATGTTGATGAGGGGTTGGCGCCTTTCGTGCATCCACCAGGCAGTCTCCTCGAGGGACTCAAATTCTTCACGGGTCCTGCCATTGACAAACAGAATCAAACAGAAATAATAGCAATGGCCTCTACTAGCGATGGCCTCTACACACATTCCCGCCGATTCATCATTCATATTTCTTATTTTAATAATCGGCGGTACAGGATATACTTTAATGGAAATTGCCAAATAATTAATATCATTTATTTTACTTTTCTTAATGGCAATTTCCTTTTTAATAATCTCCAGAACAGATTGAGGACAAGCAGGCACACATGTTTGTGCGCGTGTGCGTCCGTCATGTGAAGCAGGACATGCAAGATTTGCTTGGACAAGCTGAAAAAGCTCCTTCGGTGGAGAAAACAAGACAAGGTCGATGCTGGCCGCGTCAGATCTGCTGGGATGCAAGTAGGCGCAAACATGGTTTCACTTCACTAGCCCGACAACCCCTTTGAACCAAATAAAAGGCATAAATGGCCAGTGACCATGCACGAGAAACGTGTCGTTCAGAAACACACGCCGCACAGGGTGCTGTAGAGTTGTCCTTGCACTTTCACACAATTCGAACTGAACTGTGCAAAGAAGTCAGCGAGAAGTCACACAAAAACAACAGGGACTTCCTTTCCTACAAAACTAATCCTTGACTCTGCGATGAACAAGACCCTGCTATACTTCTACTTGAAATGTGATTCTGCCGTCGAAACGCTTTTCTGTCGTGCTCCCTAAGATCCAGCAGCTACAGCAAAGAAGCTGTGGCTGCCTTGGAGGGGAGGAGGCTGAGGAGGCCGAGGAGGGGAGCGCAGCTTTGGCATTTTGAAGCTTGGAAAGGTCAGGTAGCGTAGGTTGCCTTTCCCAAAAAGACTCAAACGGATCTAATGCTGACAACCTGCATGTGAGGTCCAGCAACCATCGCGTGGCGGTCCACTGAATCTTGCTCCGCCTTCTTGTAGCTACAACAACTTCGTTCGTATCAACCTGCCTTTTAGCGATGGCCTCCAACCTAAGAGTGGTGGCTTTCACACTCATCTAGGTCATAGAACAATAAGCTACTAGGAACAAGTGCATCGCTACTAGGAACAAGTGCCTTACTAGTAGCAAGAAGCTAGTAGTCTTTGAATCGAAATATGAGGCGACCGGAAGTGCGGAGAAGGCAAGTAGATGTTTGGAGTCTTCTCCAGTAACAGCGCAACACCAGTGAGCAGAACCCGCATCCTTACCACAGCGTGGTGAGCTGGTGTTTGTTGAGCCATTCTCAATTTCCCAATTTGGTGTCAGCATGGGTGTGTAAAGTTTAGCAAACTGCAAGAAGGCATTTTCAACAAGCATGCCAGCAGCTCGTGCGAACCTGAGAAGCTATTTCGACCACAAGAAGGCATCAAGAGAGTTTTGAAGTATCGAGGCCCATGCCATTCCGAAGGATGACCGCGGCTGCTTTTCCATGCAAACCTTACTGAGCGGTCTAGATAGGCAAAACATGTAGTGTGCAGGATCATTTTGGCAACCTGAGGCTGGTTGGGTGCCCATTCCACTCTCTACTTACAACAGTTCTGGAACATGTGAAGTTACTCTGCCAGAACAGCCAAACCGGCTTCAGCTGCTTGCCAGGGCGACCACCCAACACACACCTTTCTTGCAGCCACCGACGGCGTTCTTGCGTTTTCTTCCACAAACCTTACGTCGACACAGCGAACTGCATGCAGCCTTGTGCTCCACAGCCAGCCAAGAAGGACCACATGTCTGAGTCAACGACCACACCGTGTGGCTCTTCTTCTGACTTGCCTGCATCGCCGCAAATACTGCCTAAGCTTTAAGCTGGGCAAAGGAACAAGTGAAGCTCGAAGCTCGAAGCTCAACCATGATGTGTTTCTTGCGATGGATGTCGTGCACGGTTTTTTCTTTCACAGCCTCATGCTCTTCTCGTGGAGAAACCGTTTGGCTGTTGACTCAGCCAAGAGACACGGCACTCCAAATTTCAACCAGGCAGGCCACTCCCGAACCTGCGAGAAGCAAACGTGCTGGCGAGGAAAACATTGCAAGGCAACTCTTCCTTTTGCTGAATGGAACAAAACCCTTTCCAGGTTAGATGCACCAATCAAAACGGCCGGAAACATTTTCAAGGCATCCTTTCATCATGGCAAAGCTGCTCATCAGTCGCTCTAAGGGTGGCAAACGCCTCACTTTGCAGAAACTCGCGCACAATACCAACACCAAGTAACCAACATGGCATGTGTTTGCAGCTCAATCGAACACGGGGTGATACGAGACTGTTTGTGAATGGCACCCACTTTCCATACAACCTCCAAGACGATTGCTTGTTCAGGTGGTGATTTGAGATTGCCATTAATTGACCGTTCCGAAACTACTCGAAAACTCCGCCTCAGAGTTGGCAAGCTGCGGCGCAGTCTGTGCAGCGCATTGAGCTGCGTTAGCAGCGTGGGTTTCTGGTGCCCGGGCAGCTTGTGTGGCCTGGGCGGCTTGTGCTGCTTGGGCGGCTTGTGCTGCTTGGGCGGCTTGCGCTGCCTGAGCGGCTTGTGCTGCCTGAGCGGCTTGTGCTGCCTGAGCGGCTTGTGCGGCTTGTGCTGCTTGTGCGGCTTGTGCTGCCTGAGCGGCTTGTGCCGCTTGGGCGGCTTGTGCGGCTTGAGCGGCTTGTGCTGCTTGGGCGGCTTGTGCTGCCTGGGCCGCTTGGGCGGCTTGTGCTGCCTGCGTGGCTTGTGCTGCTTGGGCCGCTGCTTCTTGCGCAGCCTGGCCCGTCTGTGCAGGAGGGCCACTTTGTGTTCCTTGTGCACCAGGCAACTGCGCCATGCCAGGCCTGAAAAATGTATGGCATCAGTCAATACTTTTTCACATGCGTTTCTTGACATCACGGCTTCATGTTTCAAGAAACTAGGTTCTCGGCATTGCCATGCCCGGCCTTAGCAGCAGCCACACAGAAATTACCAGTAAAACGAAGGGGGATGAAAGCCAACGATTTTTTTGGCGCAGGCAAATGGAGTCAAAACCGCTGGTTCAATTGCCCGCTTGTTGAACCAGTCGACGCAGCCTCTTCCAAGAACCCATGGCTCTATCGGCTCTATCAGGTCAAGGGGAACGCTTGGGTTTTGTTGGCGCACTCACCAAGCCACTGGTGGTTCATGGTGGCTCTCTGTCAGATGATAGCAAATGAAAGCAACTAAAAGCAGGATGAAAGAAAACAAATGAAAGCCGCATGAACGCCAGTGTACGAAAGCAGAATGAAAGCAGCATGAAAGCAGAACCTCCTTTCTTTCTCAACATTGATTGACCTTGTTGACGATCTTGGACGCAAGCCTTTGTGATGCAAATGATGCAGTAATCTCTTTGCCCTGCATCATCTGCATAACCCCACCAGGCTATGATGAAAAAGCAACCCACACCCCCATTACTCACTTCGTTCGCAGGAACAACTTCAGCCTAGCTTATCGGCTGGCTTTGCCCAACATTGAAATTTTGCATTTGGTCAAACTCACCACAACATGTATTGTCCCTGTGATGGGGAGGGAAAGGAAACGTCTAGGGTTGGTTTGTCAGGAGTTTGCACTCCCTAACTCTCTTGCAGGGAATGGTGGTGCAATCCTTCTGGAGGAACTGTCCAGTGTGCAGGTTTAAAGTGGGCGAACGCCTGAACAAACAATTTCCTAGGCAACCTCGTGGCCTTTCTTCCCTAAAATATTTACCTCTTTTGGCGCCCAGGGCCCTGTGGTCATGGCATCATCATGCCCATCACGCCCATCTGCTGCCTCAGAGATCAAGCTTTGCTTCCGACTAGAAAAGCACATTTCACCCTGCCCCCCCAAAAAGCACACCGTGCAGGCCTTGCTGTGATTGCTGCAAACCGGTCATTTCTCTGGAGCGATGGCAGCTTCTTTGCTGAACGTGTTGAACAGCTGTTGCTATGGCCTGTCCTTGAGAATGGTCCTCTCAGAAAGGCTGCATCACAGCCTGAGGCGCCAAGCAACCAATGAATCGTGGTAGCTTCAACTCGCTAGCTGCCTTTTCATGGCTCAGTGTGGTCTGTATGTTACCTTCTATCATGCTCTATGGCCAAAACACTGTACGACCGGTGGCCAGAGAGAAAGAGAGAGAGAGAGAGGGAGAGAGAGAGAGAAGGTAGGAAGAAAGTGCGCGAAGGTGTAGGAGAGCTGCCGACAGAAGTGAAGGTGGTAAAGGGCAGGAGAAAGTGAGAAAAAGGAAACATCTGGAGAATGCAGTGCATCGTGCCCAGTTTGCTCTAGTAAAAGCAGAAGCTGAAGCTCTACACCCCAAGTGGTTCTTTGCCCACCAGCCTAGATCGTTTCGGGTTTGCCACTACCGCATGGGATGAAACACCTTGGGTCAACCGACTTGTGGAAGGTCGCTCGGCGGAGTGTGGTCGAAGGCCACCGGCCACTGGCCTCCAGCGTCCAAATACGCGTTCATCTATTGGGGGTGGCCATTGCCAGAAGGTTGGAGGCCATCGCTAGTAGGTTGGAGGCCATCGCTATGCCAAGGCAGTGTCCAGCAGTGGTTGTAGCTCATGACCCTCGGCTCAAAGCCCAATTCCGGTCAGCACATTTTCCAAGAAGTGGCGTGCTTGACAGTCTGCGATATGCTTTTGGGAGACGTCCTGAAGGCATGTTTGCGATCAGCCTTATTCAAACAGCTTGGGCGTCCGTGGCTCTACCTGCTGTTGCCAATAAGTCTGGTTGCGGCCCAAGGTTTGCTAGCTGGTGTTGCAAGTTTGCAAGCACTCGGCATTCATGGCCAACGACCGTTACTCCGTTGCTGCGCTACCTTCGTAGATGATGAAATGCTAAGAACGCGCACGTGGAAAATTGAGCAACACACACACAAATCTGCCTGCCGTTACGTAGTGTTTTTTGCACGAGATGTGAATAGCAGCTAGTACAAGATGTGTCTCTCCCCAAAGTGTGTGTATATAATCTGTTTGGTCTAATGTGTCTGCAACAGCCTGTCACAAACCAACCTCTGGCAAAAGTGGCTTGAACAACATGGAGGGAAAAAGGGAATGGAGCAAGAGAAAACAAAGGAATGCGAAGAAATTGATAATACATCTACCTTGGCCACTGTATATTCACATATAGCATCGACAGTTTCGCTTCCCGCACTTGACAAGGTCGGGCTTTCCGAGGCCCTGGCAAGACAGTCAGTCCAGCCCCAATCTCAGTTGATGTCTCCGACAACCACATGTTGACATATTCAATTTGATTAGGTCGAAGGCCATCGCTATTAGGTTGGAGGTCATCGCTATTAGGTTGCAGGCCATCGCTCTTAGGTTGGAGGCCATTGCTATCAGGCTGGAGGCCATCTCTAGTAGGTTGCCGTCTTCAGTGGTGCATGCCGGCACAAACGACAAGCTCAGCTTCGTGGACGGAACGCCATTCGGGTCGGCAGGGTAATCCTAGTTGAGTTGAAGAAAGCAGAACACTTTCAATTTTTTTTCCCCTAAGCATCTAGGAACCAAAGCTTCCTATTGCTAGTAGCTTGCCTCCTTACTTAATTAAGCAGGCAGGCGCCTAAGTGAGGGCGGAGCAAAACATGGGTTTTCAGTGGTTAGGTCAGGAGAATTCTTACCAAGGCACCTTTTGTAGTAGAGGATGAACTCCGGAAAGACCTGATTGTTGTCGTGGACCTTTGTTGTGCGGAAGAATGTTGATTCTCTGAGAATTCTTTCTTCCATTGGGCAGTTGATTCAGTGAATATGACAGCTCCTAGGTTGGAGGCCATCGTTACTGCTGCCACTTCTTTCGTTCTGTGAGGCGTCGGCAACCACTTCCCTGTAGGGCTTTCCCAACTTCACGACGCGATCGCCAAGAACCGAGTGATATGGTCCGTCCAAGATATCCTTTCGCCTCGTGAAAACACGGCCGTTCCTCATGAAAACAAGCCATCTGAGTTTACACTAAAAGCAGCCAGGCAGGTTGCTTGGATGAGAAAGGAAAGACATCAGTCTCTGAGGCACAAGCAAATCATCTGCGTTGAACTCATTCGTATCCTCAGCACCAAAAAATCAACACCCAAAACCTTGTTCCACCTCTGCTGGGGACAGGGCAACCACTCTGCACAGCCCACCAACCACTCGACAAACTAGCATGGCATAGCAGCCTGAAGCCGTCGATGAAATGTCACATTGCTGGGCGGTCCAGGCTATGCTTCTTTTCCAGTGTCTTCACAGCAAAAATTGCTGCTTCGCATAGGAATTATTTTTGGAGGCCATCGCTCTTAGGTTGGAGGTCATCGCTAGTAGGTTGGAGGCCATCGGTATTAGGTTGAACTCAGCATAGTAGTTTTCACGCCCATAGCGACACTGTGGGGAAAAACTACTGCAGTCTGCCTTACACACCCGTTGACCCGCGAGACCTTCGTCCGAGGGCAGACCGCCGTGGATCGCTTCTGCGTATTCGTCTGCCTTTGTGGACCGTTCCTGAGAGAATTTACAACTGTCTCTTCAGAAAACGTAGCGTCCTTTCTCCTAGTAGTAAGGCCAGGAGCCCCTAGTAGCTTCTTGTTATACTTTCAGAAAACCATCATCTGCAAATTTTTGAGTCGACTGACCATATTTCATGGACTGACCATGGGTGCGAACTATGTCATATAAGTTTTCACGTTTGCCTGCCCTTGTGCAGCTAAGGCTCTGCCAAATACACACCATAGCCGTAGAGAGGCTCTTAGATTGGCGGCTCATTTCCACAAGTCACCCCAAAACCAGAACAAAACATCTATAAAATCTCTTTGCATCTATAGAATCTCTTTCAAAGCTTAAAGAACCGTGTACCCTCGGCGAATGCGGTATGGACTTCATTCAACGCTGTGGAAAGGGAATGGATATCGAAAAATCAGTCCAATTCCGTGCAATATACAATTTGGTTTCATCAATTTTGACATCCAGCTTCCCTCAAAAGCAGGTTTTCTTGTTCTCTTGGTGCCACAGCAATATCTCTTCAAATTGTTTACCAAGATCAATCTTCCCAAAGGCAGCGCTTATGGAAAGAACACAGCTTTAAAACGGCTGGCACTTCCTGTTTACCTACCAGTGGCATCGAATTACACGATTCGTTGAACATACAAACTCGGTCAAGCTTCGGCCACTTTCCATACCAGCAGTTTTCCAGGTGGCGCCAGTCCCAGCCAATTTCCTGTGGAACAAACACGAAGTTCAGCGCCAAAGTGTTTGCAAATTCGTCGATTTTGGCCGCCAAGAGTCAGCCGAAAATTGCTGCCACAAATGCCTAGCCATGTTGGCAAAAGTGAAAAGCAAAAAGGGGCCAGCAAAATATGTTTTGGCTGAAGGTTAAGCGTTCGCTTTGCTCAACCTTCTTCTGAACTTCAAAAACCATCACTTCTGCGGCTTCCAGTGAGGCGGTCCAGGCCTTTACATGCCTCCAAACCACTTCCATGCAACAAGCGCCATTCATTGACCTGGGGTCGAGTCAAGGGACTAACTTGTGCCCATCTGCAACCAGAAACCAAAACCCAAGCTTTCTCTGAGGTGCATCTGGATCCAAAGGCTCCTGTGGCCACTCGGTCTGTTTCACGGTCTGCTTTGTTTGAGCCACATGCTTTCTTTGACGATCCTGTCCTCCAATGGCACTTCCTAAGCTGGCCAAAAAGCAACAAAACAGGAACAACAATCCACTACATTGAATGTTTGTCGGAAAAGAACTTTACAACACATCAAATCTCCAACCTCAAAGTTGGAACATGACTTCAACATCCCACCCATGCCCTGTGTGGCAGCACTATACTCAACAGGACACAAAATATGAAACACACATTTTAGAACAATCCTCGACTGACAAGTTCGCAAAAGAAAGTTTTCAAGAATTCGCAAAAAGAAACTGTCCAGGCCTGTCCAACTATCGTGGCCAAGTTACAAAAGTGCTCACTGGAGCAAATCTTTGTAGGGATGGCCCGGTGCCACTCTGAGTCTCTTGCTTAATGGCGCCTTATCGCTTGCGCGAGTTGTACATGCCAATATCAAGAATCGGAGAGAAGCACATTGAACACATAGAGCTTGGTCCAAGTCTCTCCGGGTGGTAGCATAGACATGCCACAAGGGCGCATTCCGATTTCTTTCCTGAGCGTTGATCTGTCCTATCTGCTTTTTCAAATTCAACACATGCAATTGCTCACGCACAAGATTGACAGGCAACCTGCATCTTGTTTGAGTACCTTGCTTTGGGTCCTTTTTTGTCTTATCGCTGTTAGCTGGCACACCTTTGCTGAACAACACCCTGCGAAACCGACCATCAAATCACAAGCAGCGAGTTTGGCAGCAAACTCTTCGCAGTGGTGCATGTAGAAAGAAATCACATCATACTGCATGTAAACATGTGACCTACAAAGCTGCCGCAAGCTGCAGTGTGGGCGGGGCGTAAAGGAACAAAAATGGAAGGAGGCCCCCTTAATAGCGATGGCCTCCAACCTAATGGTGTCATCAGCCAAGGAAGTTTGCATGCCCTCCTCTTCACGCGCCAGGAGTTACGCAAACATGGCTGAATCTGGAAAACGGCATGGAGTCAAGAAAACCATCATGTAGTGATCAAGTCCCTTGCAATACACTGTAGGTGTTCTATACGGAAAATCAAGAGCTCCATAAGCAGCCCGCCCAACCAGCCCTAAAACTACAAGTGACGAGTTAAACGGCAGCAAAGTGTTTTGACCGGGATGGGAACCAAGCAAGGGACATGATGCCGTAGCTTCTGTCATGCAAACTGTCCGCCACTCCAAACGTGACCCACCACCACAACCCACGCCACACCAACGTGTTGCATGTCTAAGCATTGAATACGGTTGGAGGTTTTCTCCTGATTGCTGCCATGGCATTGTGCCCTTGCCCGTGCCTGATTTTTTTTTTGTCTTTTTGTTTGGTTCTTTTCTTTCTCCTTTCGTCCCTTTTTCGCCATTGCACGTGTTCCCGAGTGTACTCGCCATGCGTTCCTCGACGCTTTCCTTTGCAACGCGCGCGGTTGCTTACGTTTCTTTTCTTTTTGCCGCTTTCCCTCGCGCTCCTGCTGTTTCGCTGTGACGATTCCATGCCTTTTTTTGACTTTCAGACTTTCTGGATGTATTTGCATCACTTTTCGTGCTTTGAGTTTACAAATGAGCTGTGTCGATTTCCACTTTGAACCTTGCAAAATCAGATGTGGCAATTTTCGCTTTGAGCCTAATTGGCACCAGTTTTTGTTTCGGTCAATGACCTACCTCTCAACTACCTTTCTCCTTCAGTTTGACTTCGCCCTCCGGTGAAGTCCGAGTCCGGGCGTACAGCACACGTACAGACTGAGGCGTGTGATGGGTCACTCTCCTCGTCGACTCTCTCTCTCTCTCACACAGGTTCTCCGCCTAATGGGCAACAGATTCTAGCCCAATCGGCAACATCGCATGGCTAAATGCCAAATACACCTGGCAGACCTTGTCACACCGGTTTCCTGCGAATGTTTGGGGTGGCCTTGTCATTGACCAGCTGCGCTGGAAAGCGAACCTCGCTTCAGCAGCTTGTTGCTTGTTGCCTTCACCTCAAAGGAGCTGGTTGGTGCTCGCGCAAGCAGACCGTAGTCTGCCTTTACCGACCTGTCTGCCAAGTGCCAGACCTGTGGTGAAGTGAATGACCGTTACCAACATGATGTGATGTTGATGGGCAATTGCGATGTTGATGCCACCTACTGATTTATGGAAGATGTGCGCGACTACACACGCAAGAACACACATTCAAGTCGATTCAGTAGCCTAAAGTTTTTTGCAAATGGGGTCGCTTTCAGGTGAACACCGCAAGAATTCCACAGGACCGGCTTGGAGATATCAAAAAGGCAAAAGTCAAAAAGAGAGAAAGAAGAAGGTAAGGCCCTGATAAGAAGGCCCCTTGAAAGGGGTGCCTTATCAAGGGGACCTTTCCCTTTGTTTTTTTCAGCAAGAATTTCTTCACCAGTTCAAACCTGAGATTGCTAGGATTGTTGCTCAACCAGACTTTGTTTTCACTGCTCAACTCAAACACATTGTTCGAGGAGTTAAAGAAGGTACTGTCAGCTACAACGTCGTGATGGCAATAGACAGGTGCTGACAAGTGGAAGTTTCACACTGAGACCAAGCTGATGAGATGCCAATGAGAAAGCTTGGGGCCGCGGTTTGATTCTTGTCTAAGCTTGCCTCAAACCCTGTGAACCCGACACCGCAAGGCAGTTCTAGCGTTGTGCAACCGCTCGCCGGGCTTCAAGTTGAAGGAGGATTTAAGCCACCAAGAGCGAAGTCCAGGTTGGGCAAGCCTGCGCTTCCCACTCCATGCCCAAATTCTTGTTAGTCCTTGGCCTAGCGAGGTCCCAAAAGTGAATTGACCGGTGGGAGACAACTTAGGTCTGACTGTCTTATGGCCACACGTAGTAGCCATGAGCAGAACAAGAACAACCTACCACAGGTCGAGTGAGCCAGTACGAAACAAACACACACACACAGAATAAAGCAACTCGAGCCAGAGGGGTTGCTACTTAACGCTGCGAGTTAGCACAACCAGAACAAATGTTTTGTGAACTACGCAAATCTATGCTGCTTCACGGAAGTACACCAAGCCAAAAGGCTTGTGTGTTTCATGACTGTGGGCAGCACAAGCGGCAAAACGATTCACAAGCAGGACATATCGTCATCAAGAAGGCATCACAATGACAAGTCTCAAACGCCTTGTGCCAAGATGCAGCCCGCACGAGCTGGAAGCCCGTTGGTACACTAGCACGATGCTTGAAGATACAAGCAGTGTCGCACTTGTGACGCCCATGCAGCGCGCAGCCACGATCCCTGGCAAGCGTGGAATTTGTAAAGGACTGAACTTGGCCATTCGCAAGAACCTACCACACAACATCTACAATGCAATGTGCTTGCCCAGGACCTTGCATCTACTTGACTTCAGACATTGGTGTCCCATCCCAAAAGGAAGCGAGGAGGACATGAGCGGAGGTATCAGGAGGAAGTACATGGGCTAAATGAACGCGTAAGGGCCCAAGCTAAGAGCGCCGACCTCCAACCCAATAGGCAAGAAAGTGCAAAAGTAGCTTCTTGTTACTACTAGTAAGGCACTTGTTACTACTAGTAAGGCACTTGTTACTACTAGTAATGCACTTGTTACTACTAGTAAGGCACTTGTTACTACTAGTAAGGCACTTGTTA